CGAGGAAGTAACTTCTGAGATACTTTTGGGCGATGAAAAGGCGATAGAACACATTTTACAACAAGAAGGGAAGCTAGCTTCGGCCAGCCGAAGCTTATATACCCTTGCAGATCATTCCTATTAATTAACAAATCGCAAAAATGTTCAATTTTCTAATATTTCTCATTAATTTTCCGATCGTTCCTATGGCAGCTATATGATATAGTCGTCCGATTTTGATTAAATTAAAATTGAAATTCGGAAATATTTAAAAAGAGTCATATCCTAGAGTAGAAGATAATACAATAAAATCCAAAGAAGCTAGAATTTATTTCCTATTATTTTTCCATTAATTTTCAGCTATATGATATAGTAGTCCGATTTTTTAAATAATTAATTCGAAATTCAGATATATTTAAAAAATAACATCCCCAAAAGTAGAAGGTAATATTTCAAAAAACACCGAAGCTAGAATTTTTTTAATTTTTTTTTTCCGATTGTTCCTATGGGAGCTATAAGATATAGTTGTCCGATCCGGTCGGCTCCGACATATATACTACCTGCAATAGAAAGAAGAAGATGAAAAGGCGATAGAACACATTTTACAACAAGAAGGGAAGCTAGCTTCGGCCAGCCGAAGCTTATATACCCTTGCAGATCATTCCTATTAATTAACAAATCGCAAAAATGTTCAATTTTCTAATATTTCTCATTAATTTTCCGATCGTTCCTATGGCAGCTATATGATATAGTCGTCCGATTTTGATTAAATTAAAATTGAAATTCGGAAATATTTAAAAAGAGTCATATCCTAGAGTAGAAGATAATACAATAAAATCCAAAGAAGCTAGAATTTATTTCCTATTATTTTTCCATTAATTTTCAGCTATATGATATAGTAGTCCGATTTTTTAAATAATTAATTCGAAATTCAGATATATTTAAAAAATAACATCCCCAAAAGTAGAAGGTAATATTTCAAAAAACACCGAAGCTAGAATTTTTTAAAGTTTTTTTTTCCAATTGTTCCTATGGGAGCTATAAGATATAGTTGTCCGATCCGGTCGGCTCCGACATACATACTACCTGCAATAGAAAGAAGACTTTTGGGAAAGTTTCATCCCGATAGCTCAAAAACTGAGAGACTAGTTTGCGTAGAAACAGACAGACGGACAGACGGACGGACAGACGGACAGACGGACAGACGGTCAGACGGACAGACGGACAGACGGACAGACGGACAGACGGACAGACGGACATGGCTAGATCGACTCGTCTTGTGATGCTGATCAAGAGTATATATACTTTATGGGGTCGGAAACGTCTCCTTCACTGCGTTGCAAACTTCTGACTGAAATCATAATACCCTCTGCAAGGGTATAAAAACAAAACCAATGGGAAAAAACATCTTCCAATTCACTTCTGGAAGTTAAATTGAAGATAAAAAGGAATTTGGTTTTATTTTTTTGAAGTTTTTGGGGAACAGTCCGCTCTTGGCGCTCTCTTTATACCTGAAAACTACCCTTTTTTATACCCTTGCAGAGGGTATTATGATTTCAGTCAGAAGTTTGCAACGCAGTGAAGGAGACGTTTCCGACCCCATAAAGTATATATATTCTTGATCAGCATCACAAGACGAGTCGATCTAGCCATGTCCGTCTGTCCGTCTGTCCGTTTGTCCGTCTGATCGTCTGTCCGTCTGTCCGTCTGTCTGTTTCTACGCAAACTAGTCTCTCAGTTTTTGAGCTATCGGGATGAAACTTTCCCAAAAGTCTTCTTTCTATTGCAGGTAGTATATATGTCGGAACCAACCGGATCGGACAACTATATCTTATAGCTCCCATAGGAAGGATCGGAAAAGAAAACGTTAAAAAAATTCTAGCTTCGGTGTTTTTTGAAATATTACCTTCTACTTTTGGGGATGTTATTTTTTAAATATTTCTGAATTTCGAATTAAATATTTAAAAAATCGGACTAATATATCATATAGCTGCCATAGGAACGATCGGAAAATTAATAGAAAAGTAATAGGAAATAAATTCTAGCTTCTTTGGGTTTTATTGTATTATCTTCTACTCTAGGATATGACTCTTTTTAAATATTTCCGAATTTCAATTTTAATTTCGTCAAAATCGGACGACTATATCATATAGCTGCCATAGGAACGATCGGAAAATTAATGAGATTAATGAAATTAATTGAACATTTTTGCGATTTGTTAATTAATAGGAATGATCTGCAAGGGTATATAAGCTTCGGCTGGCCGAAGCTAGCTTCCTTTCTTGTTCTCTTTGACCTACGCACTTTGTATTTAAAAATTAAATTTAAAAATTTCAATATTTTGGAAAAGTAAAAATGCAGTTTTATTGTGTTTATCAATACCTATCGAAATGTAGAAGAAATTTTTTAAATCGGACCATTCGTTAAAAAGTTACGGCGGATCAAAGTTTTTCTCCATCTCCTTCGCACTCCCTTTAGCTGAGTAACGGGTATCTGATAGTCGGGGCACCCGACTATAGCGTTCTCTCTTGTTTTTTTGTTGTTTCAAGCATTTTCATAGACGGAACACGGAACTGGAATTAAAACAAATAATACAACACCATTTCCTACAAGCTTATGGACCGTGCTTACATGTCGCAATGCTTTTGTGTTGAAAGAATAAACATGAAGAATGAAAACATATTTTTCAATTGGGAAAGGGTCTTCTAGGTATCTTCTACAAGTGACTTGAACGATATCGCATTCGGATCGCCGAAGTCACCCCCGTCGCACATTGGCGCCTTTTGACTTTTTTTTGGTAATAAATCATAACTTTTGAACCAGTGAAGATAATTGAATGATGTAAACGGCAAATGATAGATAATTGATCCACCTTTCAAATTATTGCTTGAGACAGGGAGTGGGCGTGGCAGAGGCGTACTTACAAATCGGCAAAGTCAGAATTTAAAAACAAATCCATTTTTTTCCGACAAAAAAAACTTTTTTTAAAAAGTTTTTGTTTTTTTTTGTTTTTTTTTTATGTTGTAATTTAAAAAAAAAAAAAATAAGAATTGAGGTTTAAAAAAAAAAAAAACTTTTTTTTTGTTAAATGTTGTTTTGTTTAGTTTATTTTTTTATGTTTTAATTTTTAAAAACTAAAAAAAAAAAAAAAAGTTGAAGTTTTTTTTTTAAAATAAAAATTTTTATATTTCATGTTTTTTGAAATAATGGTCACAATTTGGTAAACTTGGTAAATCCAATAGATTTAACATTTCTGGACTATAATTACTAGATTCTAGCTCTGTGACAAGGTTGTGATTCCATGACCCTAGAATACAGTTTGGATTCGCACATACTAAATTCAATGCTTAGGCAGCGTAAGTTGTTTTGAGCTGGCAAAAGTGGCTATTTTCGTTTCTGAATAACTTTTAAACGTGATTTTTTACAGTAACATGATATATACCAAAATTTAAGGAATCTTAAGGGCTATACAGTTTAAAGTTTTAAAATCTTTCACAAGGTTGCGCCATATGCAATTTCTGGGACCATGACTTTTTTCCCTTTTTTGGCTCTTAAAACCGCAGACGCAGGCGGACGCAGCTACAACTTTCGTAATATCAAGAAGAAAGTCCAAATAACGTTTTACGGAAGTATAAAAAAAATAGTATTAAATAGTTTTTTTTTTTTTTCCATCAAAATTAAAAAATATGGAAAAAATGGACGTTTCGAAAATAACGCATAACTAAGAGATGCGGATGGCAAACTGCAATATGTTTTACTTTTTTTTACTCTTAACTAACACACCAATCCGCGGAAAAAAGAAGCAAAGCGATTCGATGCCTAGTTTTTAAGAAAAACCCCCCGGAAGTGCGAAATTACCTAAAAACGGTGTGTTTTTTTAAGTGAAAAATTGTTCAACTTTGAAAGGGCATATCTTTTACAAACATTTTTTGATTTGAAAAAGGGTTACATATTTGTAATAGTGGATCAATTACCTGTCGATTGGTATGGGTCGTAACTTTCTAGGGCAAAGTCGAAAAAGTGATTTATTGCACGTTTTTTTACCCAAGCCGCCACTGTGCGTCGGGAAGAAATGTTCCACTACGGCGGCACTTCTAGAAGTGTCGCCTAAGTCACTTCTGGAAGTGACTTCCGCGATATCGCATTCGGATCGCCGAAGTCACCCCCGTCGGGAAAAACTGTTCCACTACGGCGACACTTCCCGAGGTCACTTCTGAGTGACTCCTAGAAGTGCCGCCGTAGTGGAACATTTCTTCCCGACGGGGGTGACTTCGACGATCGTTTTCATCTTCTAGACGTCCCTAAATAGTGACTTCCGCGATAGAAAATGCTTGCAGGGATGTGAGTCGAAACGCTGCAACGCGCTGGCATAGTAGCGGCAAAGAAATTGCCTATCCTCTGGGCCCTGCGCGCTGCCTCTACTGGCCACCACTGGTATAATCATTAACAAGAGAAAACGCTATAGTCGGTTGCCCGACTATCAGATACACTCTACTCAGCAAAAGGAAGTGCGAGGGAGATATAAAACCTTAAGCGCGCATAGCTTTTTAACGAAAAATATCTTTTACATTTCGATAAGTATTGATAAACACAATAAAAAATTTGAAAAATTTTCTTTTACATTTCGATAGGTATTGATAAACACAATAAAACTGCATTCTTACTTTTCCGAAATCATTAAAGGTGTGGGCGCCAGACACCTTTAAAAATTTATTAAGGATTTTGTGGCTTTTAAAGTTTTTGAGATCTCAGCGTTCATACGGACAGACAGACAGACGCACAGACAGACGCACAGACAGACATGCCTAGATCGACTCGGCTAGTGACCCTGATCAAGAATATATATTCTTTATAGGGTCGGAAATGCTTCCTTCTAGCTGTTAGATACTTTTGCAGGAATACAATATACCCTTTTACTCTACGAGTAACGGGTATAAACATTTGTAACTAGAAAGCCTCTTTTTGGTTAAGCACAACAAAGTAGTATGACAAGTGTAGCACAAACATGTAGAAAAACAGCATTCTCCAATTATAAATATTTCATTTATTTGTTTTATGCACTTTTATTATACAATTGTTAGAAGTATTTTTGCTCGCATATGGTCAGTTACTTGTGGCTTATATAAACTTAATTTATGCGTGAGCCTAGAAAAAGTCTTTTTATAAGCAATTGTATTTCTGGTATGAGTTAAGAACATTGATTCCAAAATTTAACTGTTTTTTCATTGCATCTCTCATTTGTCTGAATATTTCATATGATTAGATTTACATATACATATGTATCATAAATTGAGTAAATATCAAAGCATTTTTATCAATTGTATTGAAGCTTTTGTTTATTTGGTTGTTCACTTTTCTAGTGTTGGTATGTTTGAAAGATTTTGTGTCTGGTTAATTTGGATGCCTGTGCGTGTATTTGTTATGCAAATTCTCATTTGTTAAGAGTTTTATGTTATTGATATTCATTTGTAGAAGCCATAGTTTTACACGAGTACACATATATAACTGTATTAGATATAAATTTAAGCTAATCATTTAAGCGCCTTTGGTGCAAAATTAAAAAAAAAACTAGCAGGTTTTGGAAAAAAATTTTCCTAAATAATTCACTTGGTTTGCACTAAATACTTTTTATTATAGCCCCCTCACTCTTCTTAAACCCATTTCTAAAAATAACTCGACGTTAGACAAAATATGCGTTCCTATATAATATTACATACATTTATGTATGCATCTACCTATGTAGATTCTTTTTATTTATGTTAATGTCTATATTTGTATTGTATGTAAATAAACCAAAACTGCAGTTCGTGTGTTTTACTTGTTATTGGATTTTTATTAAATTGTATAAGCATTTCTTATGTATTTTTTCTGTTAGACATTTATTATATAGATAGAAAATGCGAAACTAATAAAATCAATTTACACGTTTGTGTCAAGCTGTATTCAGTAAGTTGCTGTCGCAAGTTATAAATTAAAATTGTAGATGTATATATTATTTAAAATTAAAAATAATTAAAGTATCAGCAAAAAAGCCTTTCTTAGATGAAAATGCAGCATGCTATTATTATTTTGAGCATACCTTAGTCGGATGCCCCAGCAATTAAGAAATGAAAACAATTAAGACTGAAACTATGAAACTTATGAATCCAAAATTAATACATTTTAATAAAAACATTTAAAAAGTTGTGATTTTCCAAAATTAGAAACTAACCACAAATTGTAAATCAATGTTAAATGACCGGCATTAAATTTAAATGTGGACTTCCATTACTTATTACTTTTGCATTCATTTTTCGCAAGCAATAATTTTATTTTTAGCTTTCTCGTGTTAAGAGTTATGAAGCTCGCGAGTAAATGTTGTCCGGCTCAACTCGCTCAGCGCTTAAGACTTTGTTTTGCTTTCGTTTGCTTTTTTTAATACTTGAAAAGTTTGAAGAAATAGGTTTTATTTTTAAGGGTTTTCTGGCTGAAATATATGTTGGTGTATAATGCAGTGTTGCTGTTCTTTTGTAATCGCCTTGTTTGCAGTGAGTGAGCACAGCTCTCGATGCAGGATCAACCTCTCTAACCAGATGAGGCAATAGGACTCTGCTGACCATCTAAATCCTGGGCCTGAGCTTTGTTTTGGCGTACTAGCTCGGCACGACGCTCCTAAAAGAAAAGAAATCGATTATGAATTAGTAAGGATTTATTGGAACCGAAGGTTCCTATTGTCAAGTGCTACTCAAACTAAAAAGCAAAAAATCCTTTTTTTGGAAAAACGTACGAGTTTTTGAACTTTTTCAATTTTTTTTTGCAATTCCTTTTCACGGTTCTGCTCGGCCGCGAACAATTTGTTCTCATAAATGCGCGCCTTCTCCTCGAGTTTTTGACATTCCAATTGATCGTTCTGCGATTTGATTTCGGCAATTTTGATTGTGTTCTAAATGAGAGGATATAAGAAAAATGAAAAACAAAAATTAAATGAATGCATGATTAAACTTATTTACAAAAATTTGTACACTCCTGCTTTACATAAATAAAACAAGAGAGAACGCTATAGTCAGGTGTCCGTCACCCAGCAAAAGGGAGTGCGAGGGAGATGGATATATAAAACTTTGATCTCACATAACTTTTTAACGAATGATTCGATTTCAAAAAGTTCTTCTAATTTCGATAAGTATTGATAAACACAAAAAAACAGCATTTTTACTTATCGAAAATCAATGGCGCCAAACATTTTTTAAAATCGTTTAATGCGATTGTGGGCGCTGCGTAGGAAGCCCAAGAATATGTGTGGGAAATCTCAACCTTCTAGCTTTTTTAGTTTTCGAGATCTCAGTGTTCATCCAGACAGACGGACATGGCTATATCGACTCGCCTAGTGATCCTGATAAAGAATATATATACTTTATGGGGTCGGAAAAGCCTCATACATTACATACTTTTGCACGAATACAATATACCCTTTTACTCTACGAGTAACTGGTATAAAATTGTATACAATATTAGCTGCTACGACCGGTACTGAGTATGTCGTAAGGTGTGTTTCAAAATTATACGACACCAACACACTTAGATTTTGAAAATTTGTAGCGTTGTTGTTGTTTATAGAAAGCGAAACATTTAAATGCAGATCGAAAGAACAATGTATGAAGTGTACGAAAAAAAATACCACGCGTCCTTGATCCTCCTTTTAAGGACTTACCGCTAATTTTTCGAAATATAGTCTATTTTTCGGCTATGTGCGATCGTTTCATAATTATACGACACTATCGATTTTTTCCGGTTCCAATGATCAAACTTAAGCGAAATTTTTCTTCTGGTTAAATATATGATTCTTATTTGATTAAAAGGTGTAAAGAATATTGACCAGACAAAAGTTAAGACGAATTGTGGGATATGACTTCGAAAAACTACTTTTTTAAGGTGTAGAGAGACATATTCAATATTTATGTATGGGTTGAAGATTGAAAGGACCTTTGGGCTGGATTACTCTCAAAATGGAACCTTTTAGTTTATATTTAACCAGAAGAAAAATTTCGCTTAAGTTTGATCATTGGAACCGGAAAAAATCGATAGTGTCGTATAATTATGAAACGATCGCACATAGCCGAAAAATAGACTATATTTCAAAAAATTAGCGGTAAGTCCTTAAAAAGAGGATCAAGGACGCGTGGTATTTTTTTTCGTACACTTCATACATTGTTCTTTCGATCTGCATTTAAATGTTTCGCTTTCTATAAACAACAACAACGCTACAAATTTTCAAAAAATAAGTGTGTTGGTGTCGTATAATTTTGAAACACACCTTATAACAAATGCTGTCACTTATAGTATTACAAAGCAATAACCTTTTGTTTTATATTTGTGATAGTAATCAAAAATGATATAATAGATAATTCTATTGTCTCTATTGTCTGAAAGACAGAATCACGATAGAACACCTTTTACAACAAGAGAGAATGCTATAGTCGGGTTCGTGTCCCGACTATCTAATACCCGTCACTCGGCGAAAGGGAGTGCGAGAGAGATGGATATATAACATTTTTATGATTGCTTATAACTTTTTAAATGAATGGTCCGATTTGAAAAATGTCTTCTACATTTCGATAGGTATAAATATATACACAACAAAATTGCATTTATACTTCTCGAAAATTTTTGGGCGTTAGAGGGGGCGTGGCGCTCGGCTGAAATAAACTTGCGCTGCGTAGAAAGCCCAAGAATATGTGTGGAAAATCTCAACCTTCAAGCTTTTGTAGTTTCCGAGATCTCAGCGTTCATACAGACGGACAGACAGACAGACAGACAGACGGACATGGCTATATCGACTCGTCTAGTGACCCTGATCAAGAATATATATACTTTATAGGGTCGGAAACGCTTTCTTCTCCCTGTTACATACTTTTGCACGAATACAATATACCCTTTTACTCTACGAGTAACGGGTATAAACATAAAATGAAATATATGCGTGCACAAATAACATTCCAATTTAAGAAAAGGTCGTATTCGCACAACGTTGACAATCTGGAAATTGTACCAGCCAAAACGTACCTACAAAACTTTTTAAAAAATTTAGAATTACACCCACAGTTTTCACCTAAAAAAGTTGGAGCCTTAGTTTCGTTTTTTTTTTAATTTTTCCTATTTCCGGAAATATTTAACTGCAGCTGTTGATCCCCAGCCGACATAAGGGTACTTCTTTCTTTTTTTTTGTTTACCTACCAAATCTGCGGGCGGATCCGTTTTTTACTTAAAACATTGGCCTTTCATAGGTATTTGTGTGTTATTTTTAATATTTTTAAGTTTTTTTAAGTTTTTAAGGTTTTTGGGCTTTAGATCTGTTCGAAAAAACGGTACAAAAAATAGTAAGAGTTTTTCTCTGCATTCGCTAAGCTAACAAAAATAATATATGTAGGCTACCAGAACGGTGGAGTTACGGTGGGAATAAGGTGAGGTTAGTGCGGGGTAAAGTTGCAATTAAGGAGGTATTAGGTAGATAAGGGTAAAAATAACGTAAAGAAAGGGTGAAGGTAAGAAAGGTAAGGTTTGTTTGGGTCAAGGTGACAAACAAGTTTAAATAAGAAAAAAGTGAAGTAAAAGTAAGTACACACAAAAAAAAAATTGATAAAATCGACTGTAATAATTGTCAAACAGGCCCCAACCAATTGTCAATTCTACTAAGTAAATAGTCATTTCACAACAACAAAATACACACAATTAGCAAAGACACAAACCCAAAGCAAAAACAAAATACACGTAACTATTTTAATAGTTACGTAACTATCTTTGTTGGTCAATTTTACCAAGCAAATTTTTTTGTGTGCAGTCTCTGTATATTTATACCCTTGTAGAGGGTATTATAATTTCAGTCAGATGTTTGCAACGCAGTGAAGGAGACGTTTCCGACCACATAAAGTATATATATTCTTGATCAGCACCAATAGCCGAGTCTATCTAGCCATGTCCGTCAGTCCGTCTGTCCGTTTCTATGCGAACTAGTCTCTCAGTTTTAAAGCTATCGCGATGAAACTTTCCCGAAGGTCTTCTTTCTATTGCAGGTAGTACATATGTCGGAGCCAGCCGGATCGGACCACTATATCTTAAGGCTCCCAAACAAATATAAGAAAATTCATTGTAACTTTGTAGGAAGTAGGCGTTTTGATTCTTGACTACTTAAAAACAAAATTGAAATAAATCGAAACGCTGAATCTGGAATCCCTGGAACTGCACCGAGTGAGTATTCTTTTATCTACAAGGGTATATAAGCTTCGGCTGGCCGAAGGTAGCTTCCTTTCTTGTTTTTTTTGTTTTTGTTTGCTAGGTGATGCTTTCGTTTTACTTTAAACTTTGTTTAATCCGTCCGTCTGAAACACATAAACCTTGTTAGGGCACTACAAAATGTGATGCGTGCAGTAAGTTTGTTTTAATTCCATGGAATGCATTTAATTATCATTTACTGTATTTAATTACATAATAATTATTAGGATTCTTCTAAGGACCTCGCCTATTAATTGGCTACTAAATTAGGAGAGCGTCAAGTTACGCATCGTCAAGTAAATTGGTTAACAGTCACTAGTGCAAAACTAGTAGCAAATGGACTAGTTGTTTCCGATGACAAGCATATGAAAAATGGACAAGTTCGTTACAAGGAAATGGACATAACTTGAACTAGTTAACTTTCTTGACCCAATTAGTATTTTACTGGTCCAAAACTGATTCCGTTTCCTGCAGGGTTATAACATATTTTTAAACACTTTCTCTAAATCTATTTCTAAATCTAAATCTAAATCTTTTTTTTTTTTTTTTTTTTTAACGGTATTTTATTTATTGAATCTTCTCTCTTAGAGACTAACGACAAGTTTGCAAATCTTAATCTAGTTTATATATTTTAATTAATTACAAATTAATAATTTTTTTTTTTTTTTTTTTTTTTGAATAACGGCCCTAACTATTGCTGCTGGGTGGGGAGGTCTCTTCGCCGGAGTCGTGTATAGCTTGTGGTCCAGATTAGAGACCGCGCAAGGTCATTAGGATGGGCCTGGAGCTTGAGATTATACTTTGTTTTCGCTTTGTCGAGTTCGTCTTTAACTAAGCCTATGTTTAGATCTTTATGAATATTTTCATTCCGTATATACCACGGCGCTCCTGTTATAGTTCTCAGTATCTTTGATTGAGCTCTCTGGATTATTTCTAAGTTGCTGGCACATGCGTTTCCCCATAGCTCGGACCCATATGTCCAAATTGGTTTTAGGACTGCATTATACAAGAGTATTTTGTATTCTAATTTTAATGGCGAGCGGGCGTTAATAAGCCAATGTAGATTGCTGGCTTTAAATTTTAAATGATTTCTCTTAGCTTCGATATGTTTACGCCAAGTGAGTCGTCTATCCAGGTGGACTCCTAGATATGTTACTTCAGTTGTTTGTGGCATAATAATGTTGTTCAGGGATAGTGAAGGGCAGGTTTGCCTGTTTAGGGTAAAAGTAACATGTTTACATTTTTGTTCGTTAACGTTTATGCGCCAGTCTGCTAGCCATTGTTCTAGAAGCACGAGGTGATCTGCTATGTGTTGCGTTGCTCTAAGAGGACATTTAGACCGATTTAGGATGGCATTATCATCAGCGAAGGTTGATGTTGTTGTGAGAGTGGATGTCTGGAGGTCGGCAGTATAAATAATATACAATGTCGGCCCAAGCACACTTCCTTGGGGTACTACAACTTCGCATAGCGAAGCTTCTTTTGTGTAGGTAGGACTCCAAAATTGTATGGGTTCTTTGTGGAAGTATTAATTTGATTTTATGAATTAAGCCGTCCAGCCACACGCGGTCGAAGGCCTGTGCGACATCCAGAAAGACAGCAGAGCAATATTCTCGCCTTTCAAATGCATTTCGTATCTCGGAGGTTATCCGGTTCACTTGTTCAATAGTTCCGTGT